CAAAATAATAATTTATAAATTATCAAGGGTTCATGAGGGAGTGGGGAGCGGGGAGGGAGGGAGAAAAATGAGGACCTGATGCCAAGGGCTTAGGTGGAGAGCAAATGTTTTGAGAATGATGAGGGCAATGAATGTACAATGCGCTTTACACAATTAATGTATATATGGATTGTGTTAAGAGTTGTATGAGCCCCTAATAAAATGATTTTTTTTTAAACTAAGAAAAACCTTTCTTTTTGATAGAACTATAGTACAACATTTAAATCAAGGCCATTTTTAATGGGAATGTTATATTACGTTTAACTCAGAAGGACAAGATACCAAAAATAAAAAAGCTTACAGCCATTTGAGTCAGTTCTGACTCACAGCAACTCTAAATAGGGTTTCTGAGGCCATTGATCTTTTGGCCTCATCTTTCTCCCACAGAGTGTCTGGTGGGTTTGAACTGCTGACCTTGTGGTAGGTCTAGTACGTACTTCTCAGCACCACCAGGGCTCTTAGAAAGACAGAGTGGGTAGGAAAAAGCTTTTGTTGGCATATTTTTAACTATATAATTGAAAAATACAAAATTCAGAAGTTGCAGTAAATTGACCTTTTACTTAACTATTTAATTCAGGTGAATATACTGAATAAAATTGTGAGCAGAGCAACACCTGGACTTCAGAAGTTTTCCAAAACCGCCAGTATGCTCTGGCTTCTTCAACAGGAAATGGTCACATGGAGGCTGTTGGCGTCTTTATATAGGTAAGGTTGGGTATAATTCATAAGTGAAATAGATACAAGGTTGCACACCAAATTATTTTGAAAGTTAAAATGAATGGCAAATGATGATATTTGTCATTTTACAACAATAAAAACATTTAAGAGAGTGGGTTGTGTTTGGAAATAGGTTTTGATAATTTTTATGCTTATCATTTCTGTTTCTTGTAGTACCTTAATTATTAGGAGTGGGTTTTGGGAGAAGAGGGACATACCAGGTCATGTAACTAGTTGCTAACAAAAATTGAAATATACATACCGTACTAGGGGGCTTCAAAAGGTTCATGGACAAACTTCAGTTTCTAGTTTTACTGACATAATTTATTATTTTAAACCCTTTTTTCCCATAAACTTATTAAAGCCTCATTAACATATACATAAAATATACACACAATCTTCTAAACATAATCTTGTATTATGGTAAACTTTGGACTTTTTATGGTCTGTGAACTTTGTTTACAAATACTGCAATACTTAGCATAGATTATTTTTTAAAAAACAAAAGTATTAGAAAGATGGACTTGATACAGTGCTGATAAGATTTTAAAGACATCAGTCAGCTTTATCTTCTCAGAGGTTTGACTTTTCTTCTGTTGGGTTCTCATGCTAATGACGAAATCTTAAGAAAAGTATAATGCT